AGAAGTAACACGGGTGCTATATAAAACAAATCTGCTACGAAACAGAAATATAAACCGTAAACTAGATGTATAATTATGTACATTTTCTTTTTAATAATTGTTTCATAACTTATTCTATGTTATATTTTTCTATAATATAGTTTATTCTTTTTTTTTAGTTCTTGTTAAAAAAGACTTGATGCTTAAAAAGGTCAGAGAAGTATCAAAATCGGGTTTTATAGGTACCTATACTAAATATAAACTGTTACCTAGATTTTTGAAATATGCTTGCATTCTTGTTGCATTTATTTTGAAATAATGTTGTATAATTTGTAAATGTAATAATTTTATCCGGTGTATCCTTATATATGATAAAACATGGCAACATATTTCACATAACTTCCATGGATAAAACAGTCACAGCGTTGCACGGGTATTTATAATTATTAAGATAGTGTTTGACAGTCCGTTTCGGTTGAATGCTCAGATAATCCGTATATTAAAATGTAAATAACTTTCACCAAACATCTGTCATCTGTCAAAAATTAGAAAAATATAAAGTAAATAAGATACTCAGAATATATTTTCCTTGACTAATTTTATATGGGTAAGAACAATTATTTTAAATCACAGACGAAAATGTTTTTAAGAACATTTTTGATATTTATTACTAATCATTATATCTTTACAGACGGAACGAATAAATACTAAATTACTTAATGCAAGAAAGCACGACTGCAAAGTTTTTATGACTTGCACACTTTTCCGGTTACACCAGTTATTCTTTTCTTATATAACCAATTAAATGTTTACGTGAAATAACATCGGACAAAAAATGAATTGCAACTTTGCAAACGTTATTTAAGTAATAGACATACAACATAACATTAAAAGACCACAAAAGAATACCCTCCATTCTTTTCCGATTTTATTCATGAAAGGGAAACAACCCCTAATAAACACAGAGAAAGTGTCGCCCGTTTTGTATCCGAATATTTAAAATCTTAACACGAATGAACACGATCTTACAAAGTCTAAACAGCATTTTTACCTTTAGTCTGATTTGATCTGAACATGGTCTGATCAAGTCTTAATCGGATGCAAGAACAATCTCTCTTGTTTATCTTGACATGACTGAACGGACTTAACACGGTATATCGTGACAGCGTCTGAAAGTCTGAAAAAGTCTTGACGTTTTTCTCTAGCAGTAAATCCAGTCGATTAAGACTTGATCAGACCAAAATGACCGTTTCAGACTCAAATATTGCTACTAGTGTATACTACTGTTGCCTTTATTTATCTGTACCAAGTCAGGAATATGGCTATTGTTATCACATAGTCCGTTTTTATATTTATGTTGGCGTTTGTTTTTGTAACAGTTCAGTGTTTCTGTTGTTCCGTTTTGTTTCCTCTTAAAGATGATGTGTTTCCCTCAGTTTTGGTTTGTGACCAGGATTTGTTTCAGTTAAATCGATTTATGACTATTGAACAGCGGTATACTACTATTGCCTTTATTTACGGTATAAAACAAAAAGAAAGTGAGGTCATGTGGGAAGTCTTAGACCAATTCTTTGTGAAGGAACTGGGGATAGAAAATTTAAAGCAGACAGTTTCCCTATTGCTAATGCTCACAGGATCCCTTCAAGAGCCCCAGTTGTTGGCCAAAATGACCAGATGCTATAATTGTGAGATTTATGAATTATTCAAACAAAAAGTTAGTAATGGAAAATGCATTCAAAGTTACAAATAAAAAATGGAGTAGTAGAAGATTTAACAGTCATAATGAAAGGAGCACGAACTGATCTGGCAAAAAATGCGTATAGAATAAGAACTGATGAGAAACTACAAACCAGAATAAAAGAAAGAGGCATAGTCCTGGTCCTAGAAACATGCTTTAACTCAAAGGATGTGTGGAATATGCGCAAATAAAGGCAACAGTAGTATACCGCTGTTCAATAGTCATAAATCGATTGCGCGTTAACAAATCCGGGTTACAAACTAAAACCGAGGGAAGCACATCAACTGTAAGAGGAAAACAACGGAACAACATAAACACGGACCTGCAACAAAAAAGGAAACGCCAACATACATAGAAACGGACTATTAGATGACAACTGCATTATTCCTGACTTGGTACAGGACATTTTAAGAAATAATGGTGGGTTGAACCTGGTTTTATGGCTAGCCAAACCTCCCGCTTATATATAGCAATGTTAAAAATATCGCTAGCACTACGTGACAGGAATACAGTACAAATAAACGCAAGAACACTCAGGACAGAGAAATACATAAATAAATAGTATAACAGTACATTAAAACATGTAAACCGCAGAATAAGAACGGACACGTCCCATGAATTTACGACAGTACACCAGGACACCACAAACGAAGTATAAACTGCGCTTCACGTGAATGTATCAACGCCACAAAAAGTGACGTATTTTTGTGACATTTATATTATCACAGGTAAATTTCAAAAAATACAATAGACTTGTTTTATTTATAGACACGAATATAAAATTGGGATTGAGTTTGTAATGGTGTTATTTTATGTATTTTATGTACTCAAAACAAGTTATTGTGTCAGATGTTACAAGTACATGTATGACTGTGGCTACACAAATTGTAAATACAGACTGAGGTGATCCTAGTTTTTGTTTTGCTGTGACTGAAAAACTTATTATACAACTTTAATGTATTATAATGTTCAATTCTTTTTTAGGACTCGCTCGTCAGTAAGTATACTGCTGTGTTAATGTGTTTGCCTTTGTGTTTCTTCTTTTTATGCTTTTGTTATAGTTGCAATCATATAGGATATACATAGGCTGCATGTCAGTTCATGGTCTTATTATTTATCTTTAGTTTTTCTTTAGTTTTGGCCACAAAAAGTGTATATTTATCATCATTCATTGGTACATACAGGAAGAACCTAATATCATTAAAAGAAAATGGTTTACGTAAGGAGTCGTTTTTAAAAACAAAGATTTTTTTAGTCTGTAAATAAATATGGAAAAAATTTTAAATTACATAAAAAACATTTTCCAGGAAACAAATTAACTCTACGCCTTAATATTTCAGCATTCTAATAAAGTGCTTTCATATCATCAAAAAGACCCGTGAGATTTGTATTAGAGTGACGATAATCCCTAAACACGCCACAAGTCAAAGGAACATGTGGTAGTTAACATCTGGTGTTGGGCTCTCAAAGGCTATTTTTCTTTGTACTAAATTTTTGATACTTCAAACTTTCAATCACATACTATAATACAGAATACCTTTCATTACCTGGTATATTTTACATCATCAACTGCATCTTTTTATCAAAATAAAGATAACATAATACTTGACACCCTGTATGTACCAACTTGTTTCTCCATCTACATCTTAAAATATACTGTTTGAATTTTAAGCTTTCACAGGATTTTTATAATGCTGTTCATTGCTCTAACATATATAAATGCTTCTTTTTTTACTGTTGTTTACCTTTAATTCAACTGTTTGTGCTTTTCTTATACTCATGTTTAATGTGTGCATGACAACAGCCTTTACTTTGCTAGTTTGTTAATCTTTACTGTTTATTATCAGGTTAAGATTAAAAAATATACTGCTTTGTGGAGAAATACTTTCTTCATGAATGCACAATCTTCCATCGCAATATAGCATAAATGCTTACATGATTTTTTGTATTAAGTAAAAGAACTATAAATTGAAAAAAAAACAAACAAACTATGAAACTAGAATGCATAAAGTATCCTATTATTTAAACACATTCAGCTGAGCAAAAGAGTGAAATCTGTGTACATACATGTACAGCTGATCTAGAAATAAAAAACACTTTATTACTTTACCTTTTAGAATAAATCTATTTATTTGGGTATATTCGATGAGTGATTATAAGAGAACATTAAAAAAATATAACTTTAATCGAATGTCACACATAAATGAATGACTATATAAATAACACATAGCTGAGAGGGTGATAGAGCAGATTGTTACCCCGAGAAAACATTGTCAACTGAGGCGAAGCCCGTACCTTGACCTATAATGGTTTACTTTTATAAATTGTAACTTGGATGGAGAGTTGTCTCATTTGCAATCATACCACATCTTCCTATATCTATATATGGTGTTTATTGTTTTTTGTTCTTGTTTGTGCTTATAACCACATGTATGCTTTTAATAACTGTTTGTTCTTGTATGAATTTTTACAACAGAAAACCATCCTTGCCAAGTGTATCAAATGTTGTATTTCAAGACACATTTTATTTTTACCAATATACTGCTGCCAAAATCCAAATTTCAGTATTATTTTCTGTTTTTAAATTTTTGATATTTTGTTTTTGTTTTTGTTATTTATTTATTTATTATTTTCTCGTCTGTCTTTTCCTTTCTATAAAATATAGTTCAGTGCTTTCCTTATTGAAAAATGCTATAGAAATAATGTATACTGTATATTTCAGAATTTAGAATAGTAACAACTACTAACTAGTTCTAATGTTTAACGAGGCCGGGGTAAGGTATCGGCATTTTCTGTATCTAAATAACAAATGTAAAAAAAATTCAATAAAGTATGATGAAATTTAAAAAAAAAGAATAACGAAAATGTTTTAAATGAAAGCATGGTTTGTCATGATGAGTGTATCCGAAAACACTTAATGAAAAAACCGAAAACAGTCTTTATTAAACACATGATTTCGCGGTTTTATATCTTTAGATACCAAAACAGTCATATTTTCTGTAATTTTAGCCATTGTGTCCTCTTTCTGGTTGTGAATATCTGACTAAATGGGGATTTGCATGACGGTGATGTATTCATAGCAAGAGACGCTGATCCTGTCATCGCACTCGGTCTCGCTCCTTTTGGGGTTTATATGATTCCCTCAGTTTTGATTTGCTTCCTTTAATTGTCTCTTTTTAATTGATATACGAGAGTTGAACAACGATAAACTACTGTCGTTTTGATTCATTATGTATTATGGTAGGAATGAAGTATACAATATATATTCGATAATAAGACTTACATCTGTCACCTCTGAAATTTTGTGGAGCCCAAATTGTCTCTTCAAATTGAGAAACACACGTTCCCTCCTTTTTTCAACAAACATTTCCTCTTTACTACATAACTGGTTAACATTTCTAAATTTGACATCTGTGTGCCTGTAGATTATATTCGATTGACATATTCAAAAATATGAAAGAACATGTAATACTGATCAGCAATTAATGAAAATAAAATTCCTTTCTATTCCATTTTAAGGGCATACGATACAGATGAGATATTTCTTTCATTTTTCCTTTAAATTGTGACACAAAGTCGTTTCAATTTGCACTATGGACATATGAAAATAAAGTATATATTCATGACTCGTTCGTGTATTTTACGCCAAACATTTTTCATTTTATCCAGAAAAATAGATTTTGCAAATTGAGAACAATTTTTAATTGACTTGTTTTGAAAGTTAAGCTTATGAAGTCTTTTGAATATTTTTTTTTATATATATAACAACATTATATATTTATTTACCAAATATGTTTGTTACATTGTTACATCAAGAGTCCAAGCTTTTCTTGATATATCCTGTAATATTCCACTGATTACCCAGGTTAGTAATCAGCTGTTGATATATATATATATATATATATATATATTTGAGTCTAATATTTTTTTCCTTATCTGCGCAGCATCGTCTATTCTAGACGATCCGGTACATATTACATTTTCTGATTGATCCTTTTTATAGACTCCTATAAATGTATATATATATACAGCACAAACAACATTTTCCAAAAGACCAAAAGTGAAAAAGTATATTTTAACAAAACGCATTTGTTTAACAGGTCGAACAACTGATGTTCTAAAACCCTGCTGACTGCCATGGCGATTACCAAATAAACGTATCACAAGATGTAACAAAATGAATCTTAATTTTTAATTGAATACCAAACAGAAAACAATAAACTTGCGGAAAAGATGGTATACCGCAAACATGAGGTGCACAAATTTGTACACCATATCCGGATTTCGACAATTAATGTCTCTTCAGTGATGTTAGGAATCTAAACAGTATTTGGAAGGCCATATGATTTACCTCAATTTAGGATAGACTCGTAAATTTTGAAGAGTCGAAATAGGATGAACGGATCATATAAACCCGAAGGAAAATATGATACAAGCCCAAACGAAAAAATATAAACAAGTCTAAATTGAAAACAACGTTCAAACCTATCATTGCGTTGGATAAAAACCGCAATTTTGATACGTGTGAATCTAACTTTGATTTTCTCATTAACTCATGAATACTTTTCCAATCATTTTCTAAAAATCGACAAGACATAAAAAAGTGGTTATAATCTTCTTCTTCGTTACATACATTAAACAGACCGTCTTTCTTCTGTTTCCCTTTAAATAATAAGTGTTTTGTTGGCAAAATGAATTGTAAAAGTTTTCACGTATATATTTTTAACTTATTCTCTTCTAAATGATGAAACATGAAAAGATATAATTGATTTATGCTAAGGTTCTCATTAATTGTAAAATACGCATCCATAGAAATAGAATTGTATGCGACTGTCGTACAAGTGAGAGGTTTAGCTAGCTAATAAAACCAAGTTTAATCCATCATTTTCTACATAAGGAAATGCTTGTACCAAGTCAGGAATATGACAAAAAGTAAAATCACAAAAATACTGAACTCCGATGAAAATTCAAAAAAGAAAGTCTCTAATCAAATGGCAAAATCAAAAGCTCAAACACATCAAACGAATGGATAACAACTGTCATATTCCTGACTTGGTACAGGCATTTTCCCATGTAGAAAATGGTGGATTGAACCTAGTTTTATAGCTAGCTAAACCTCTCACTTGTATGACAGTCGCATCAAATTCCATTATATTGACAACGATGCGTGAACAAAACAAACAGACACAATAGGTAAAAATGTCAAAAATAGGGGTACAGCAGTCAACATTGTGTTATCATCTTAATCACTATAAAAAGAAACAAATGTAACGAAGAAGCACAAAAAGGCATACATCAAATCTAACATCCTCATTTTGCTTTTGTATTATACGATTTTATTTATCTATGTAAAATCCACCCATAAAGGATGGAAGGTTTTAAGTACTGGCGTAAAATTGCGCGTTTGAAATTCGCACAGGTAGACATAAAATAATTTTGTCGTTCAAAGTATGACGGAATACATAAGTACAGAGTCACGTAAAATGGATATCACAAAAAACAAACTTAACAGTAAAAGTAATATTAATAAATAAAATAATTTTGTGGTTCAAAGTATGACGGGATGCATAAGTACAGAGTCATGTCAAATGTATATCACAAAAAACAGACTTAACAGCCATTTTATAAGGGACTTTCCGTTTGGAATATTCCTTGGAGTTCGGTATTTTTGTTATTTTACTTTTTACTAACACCAATTGAGGGTTCATTTTTATCTTTGCCAATTGATTTGTAAAATGTTTGTTGAAAAAATTGAAGCCCAACTCAATTTATGTCTAGGAAGATTTACAACACTTTTAATTGAACTTTCAGACTTTAACATCTGAAGACAGTCTTTTTAGATGGCTTTTTTTCAAAATATTTATTTCTGCTATCCAAATATTCTTACAGACTAATTCATTTTCTAAAAAAGATTCGAAATTCAAAATTTTTATGGAATTTACGTTTTTGATTTCACAAGATAATTTAAAAATTAAGATAACATGAATGGAAAGTTTATCTAATTTTTAACAATCTAAAACAATTAAAACAAGTGTATTTGTTTGATGAAAAAAACGTGGTTCAATTTTCTTCGAAAAAGTAAAATTTGCAATTGTTCAATAAACATGTCTAAATGAGTTTTTAATTTAACTTTTTAAATTGAAATATGACAAAATGCTAAAATTTGGAGAATTTTTTTCATTTTGACATTTAAATTGAAAATTTGAAAATGCTCCAATTTGGATCATTTTCATTTTGACATTAATGATTCAAAAATGAAAAATGCTCCAATTTCGTTTTGACATTATAAATTGAAAATAAAAACGCTCCATTTGGAATTATTTTTGGAAAAATTCAAAATTGAAAAATGCCCACATCTGCATCATTTCCAATTTGCTTATATGTAGAACAAATTGGAATTTGTTTCAATATTGGTTTGGTTTCTCAATTTTCATATTGTCGACAATTTTTTTGAAATTTTTATTGATTTGTTTTTTTAATTTTAATTTCTTTAAGTACACTATTTTTGAAGGACTTTTTATGGATAGATACGTGTGCACTCTGCGATATCAACTAGACATGTTTTTAAATGCTTATTGGAAGTAAAAAATAATTTTAAAAACGGATGTTTTTTAAACATTTTTCAATATCGCTGTCAGAATTGGAGAATTAATAATGTTCCACATAAATGCATTTTTCATTTGCCAAACAATTTCAAAAATTGAAAAATACTCAAAACAGGAGCGTTTTCATATTTGTGAAATTTTTTGGAAAAATGAAAAATAAACCATGACGTAATAGTTCCTATTTTTATTGAGAAATTTACAAATAGAAAACTGCTGTACTAGTGAATCTTTTTATTTTTAGTTGAAATTGAAAACAGGTAATGTGAAGTTTATCAAACATAACTGTTCTAAATTCTATTCTCTGTTTGCCCGGTTTTCATAAAGTGTTCCTTAGTTTATAAATGTTAAATGTAGTGACCAAGGTGATTGTAAATTTAGATTAAATTGTTCTGATATCACGCTTTTAATTGGTGACAGATAGTCATAGACAGTTTTTTTACCAAGAAAAAAAGACTCCATGTGCTTGTTTTTGCTTTGCTTTTTGTTTGTTATCTTTTTCTTGGCTTTAGCAGAAATGATATAGATAACTTATGTGTTTTTTATGGAAGATAAGTTGCAGTGTATTTTTTAATTCAACATCGTCGTGTAAGTATCCAAGCAACACCACAACGCGATACAAACATTTATTGACTATATTTGATGACTGTTGGTGGTTTTTTTCAAATGTTATGTCCAACAGTAGATTATACGAACTTCAATCAACAGCATTTCTGCTTTCCTGTGAGACTGCTTCAAATTCATGCAAATGTTTTGATAAAGTGCATATTATTAGCGACGTCACGGAAACAACGCAATAAACATGGATGAATTATTATATACCCCTGTTACTGTATTGTACGCTATTAATACAAAATTTAATATAAAGACTATTAGCTGAGTGTTTAAAGATGTTTGCTACACACAATTGAGGTTTCGCAAGATCAGCCAACAGACGCAACTGATCGTCTAGAACTATCGAAGATCTTTCCATTTAACTTTATACACCATTTAAATCATGATTGTAATGAAATAGAGGTCGGTTGTTTAAAAGATATTAAAGATATCTTGTACACAGCATTATATTACTTATTTTAATGTCTTAGGTTCCGAGAGGGTTTTTGATATAAAAGATGGCTGTCGTTTCCGTTTTAGCATATGTTTGTGGAAATATTTTCTGTGTCACAAATAAATGCGTAGCATTTATGTCAGTATTATCAGCTCCCGTTAGATACATCTTTGTAAGTAAAAATCGATACTTTTATTTGATAAAATAAACAAAACATAATATGTATTGCTACACATTTATGAAAACTTAATGTTTAACATTCTGTCGGTGCATATACTTATATATTAGCATTGCACAATGGCATGCTATTCTCGTACTGTTTATGACGTCTGTATACTAAATATATTGGATGTACATAGATTGATACTTCAGTCCGGGGGAACATGATTTATTTATACGTTGTCATTGGCAATAAGCTTTCTGTAGCTGTTAGTACCCTTAGTCGGTTCTTTGTGTCTTTTGTCTTTTTGTTTGTTATTTTTTTGCGCCTCGTGCCAATTTGATGCGTCAAGCCATTTACAACAGATTTTTTAAGTTTGTTTTAATGTTATGCTGTAACACCACTGTTCATGGTTAGAAGAGGAGATAGTTGAGCGCTCACAAACATTTTTTAACCTGCTTAATTCTTTTTGTGCCTATCCAAAGTCAGTATCCTTTAATTCAGTGGTTGTTGTTTGTTGCTGTCTGTTATAACTGTGTTTTGTGAATTGTTTTATAGATAAATCAGGCCGTTGGTTTTTACGTTTGAACTGTTTCACATTTTGTCAAGTCAGGGTCTTTTATACCTGACTATACATTATGGCGTCTTTTTCGTTGTTTATGGCCGAACAGTGGCATATAGTTGCCTAGATTAATTTCATTAGATGGTTGTCTGGTTGGCAATCATACTACATCGCTTTCTTTTATTTGAAATAATCATTACAATTGTCAGAAACCATGCAACTATTTATTGTCAATCTGGTCATATCAACTCTCTGGCATATTTGTTTGAAAGCGTTATTTGTTTGCATTTCGTTGATTCGCATTAAAATACTACCACTCCATACTTACGGGTTGCTCATGACATCAAATTCTATTTTGGCCTGAAACGACAATATTTGTTTTAATTATTTAATTCTTAAAAAAAGAGTAAACGATATTTTATGTGTTTGTTTTACCTTGATTTGTCTTCTTCGTCGATTTACGAGACGTGAAGAGAAAAAGAGAGGCGAAAGATACCAAAGAGAGATTCAAACTCACAAGTCGAAAATAAACGGACAATGCCATAGCTAAAAGGAAACAGACAAACAATAGTACACAAAACACAACATAGAAAACTAAAGACTGAGCAACACGAACCCCGCCAAAAACGAGGGGTGATCTCAGGTGCTCCGGAAGGGTAAGCAGATCCTGCTCCACATGTGACACCCGTCCTGTTGTTTAAACATCGGCAAACTACTGTCGACTTAATTTAACAAATACGCCTATTTGGTTAAATTCAAGAACATGTTGTATGGTGTGATAAGTTGTCACATCCATTGCTTCTCAACTTCTTGTTTATCGTATACTTGAAGTGGGGGTATCAAAAGTGAGCAATTGCTTATATTTCCAGTTTGTAGTTGTTTAACTTTTTTCTTTGGGTATATAATATTAAATTATTAACAATATTACATAATACTTTTATGTAAGAAGATCATTTCAGGTATGTTTTTTGTAGTAATCCAATTGGTTTGAGCTTGATTTCCAATCAGAAAATGAATCCAGGTATGAAATATATGTAGGACTCAAATCTTTGGTGGATTCCAAATCTATGGCAAATTCCTAATCTATGGTAAATATTGACGTCACAAACGCTAAACAAATCACAAATCTATGGCAGTTTTTTGTTTTCTCCAAATCTATGGCAGATTTGGATATTACGTAATTTTCCATCACAATTAAATAACGTCATGTAACATCGAAGCCGCCGCTAATGGTGACGGTTTTGTTATATAGAAGGAAAAGAAAAAGAACGAAAAAGCCTGTTTTTCAAGGACCCTAATCCATAAAAAATTATATTTCAGTATTGTGTTTGTTTCCACTCCTTGTTTTCTTCCTCTCGTGTCCCTGGTGTTGCCCTCACCCTTAATTGCACGAGTTTTTACTGTGCATTTTGGTTTGCTTTTTGCTGTTTTTTTGTAATTTTTATACCTATGGTCTCCTTAATTTTCTTATAGATGTAACATAACGAACAGCATTTTGTCAGCTATATAGTAGTGACTACCTGTACTATTGCAGCAAATAATCTTTTTTTGAGATTTTGAAGAAAAAAATATGTCATAGATTTCTAATAAATTTTTACATTATTTTCCGCTATATTTATGTCGAATAACTGTACTGTTGGAGAAATAAGGATTTTTTTTAAAAGAAAGCCACGTGTTTGAGGCAAGATATTGTTAATTACAGGACTTAAATCGTCATCAGTCTAAAAATTTGTATATTATTTAACGCTCAAATAAATATAAGGTAAAAATTAAAACTGCTTTTTGTGTCTTTAATGGACTTGGTCAAATGAAGGGTCAAACATGTACAATGCACAGAGTAGGAAATGTTTAATCTTCCGGGCACAAGATTTCAACCCTAAAGTATGTGTTCATTTCACAAATGGTTATGGATATATGCTTCCTAGTAGTACTCCTAATCCGTTTTTCGTATACTGGCTTTTACTTAAAGGCAGCTTTTTCGCTACCTTTGGACATTTCGACATCAAAATCATTGGTCAGATATGTACAGGCGGGTCCGCCATTTGCAGAAAATCTGTAGGATTTGAAAACTAGATTAGGACACTAAAAAATTACCATACATTAGGAAACTAAAACATTACCATACATTAGGAAACTAAAAAATTGCCATAGATTAGGATTCTAAAAAATCTGCCATAGATTGGGGATGACATGACGTCATGTTTACCATAGATTAGGAATCTGCCATAGATCTGGAACCCACCATAGATTTGAGTCCTACATATATATTAGGTCTAACGAGTATGACACATAGAAAATACACCTTTCAATCATTTCAATTGTTAAAAGTTATCACAAAGTGGATAAATTTATAATTTTGTGTTAGTTATTCATTGTTATTGGAACAACTGAATAAACATTTAAATTTTTCAATATTGAACTCTGAGATGTCTGAATAAATCACCAGGGAAAATGTTAGGTTTCTTTCAGTTGTTCAGTTCTTTTACGACCGTGTGAGTTTAACTACCGTTTAGTTCTGTTTGGAGTAATTAAGAAAAGGACGCCTTGCGATCGATTCAATGCCTTCAGTCTAAATGTCTGTTTAAAACTGTTTTTTTTTTTATATTTCCTTCGTGACAAGTAAACTCTTAACGACATTTCCATAACTTTAAACGTTACAAAATATTACAAAATTCTCTTTACATTTCTTTTTCCAAATTGTTTGTGCAACTAACATGATGTCTAAAACCAGTTTGATAATAAATGCAATAAGATATTTTTCTTATTGTAGTATTTGTGTATAACTACCAACTAACTAATCAATTTTTTTAATGCTTATAATGTAAACGTATGATATAACATGTTTCGAAATCGTTTAAAACAAGCCCTGTATATTTTCATATAAAAGACAGACATTTCTAAGGGAAGTCCAACATAATTTACTAAATGAATGCTTCCATTTTTTTTTCTTTTTAACGCCATGAAATATTTCTTTTTTCCATCATTTACTTGTTACATTATCTTCAACAAGTCTAAGCTCCTTGTAAATTGTAAATTATATTTATAATGATTATAGTATTATAATAAATTATAAAGCATCAATCTAATAAATGTTTATTTATGTCTCTGTCCTGAGTGTTCTTGCGTTTAGTTGTAATGTATTCCTGTCACGTAATGTTGTCATTTTAGCCGTATTTTTTACATTGCCATATAAACGGGAGGTTTGGCTAGCCTTAAAACCAGGTTCAACCCAACATTTTTTCTTAAAATGACCTGTACCAAGTCAGGAATATGGCAGTTGTTATCAAATAGTCCGTTTCTATGTATGTTGGCGTTTGTTTGTGTAGCAGTTCAGTGTTTATGTTGTTCCGTTGTTTTCCTCTTGTAGTTGATGTGTTTCCCTCGGTTTTGGTTTGTGACCCGGATTTGTTTCAGTTAAATCGATTTATGACTATTGAACAGCGGTATACTACTGTTGCCTTTATTTATTTTATATTAACAAAAAATTTAACTTCTTTCCACTTTTTAATATAAAGCATTTTTTATATTAATTCTCTATCAAATGAAAAGATAAAGCACATCAAGTCCTTCCATTTTCTGATCAGATAAATAGTAGGATTTATAGATTGAATATCCAATAAAAAAGTATAACAAAAATACCGAACTCCAAGGCAAATTCAAAAAGGGGAGGTCCATAAAAACTGACAAAATCAAACGCTACCAATCAACGGAAAGAGTGAAAAATACCTGCCATATTCCTTACTTGGTACAGGTATTTTCCGAAAGAAATGGTGGGCTAAACCTTATAGTTAGCAAAACTGTCCACTTGACAGTTGTTTATAGTTGGGTCAGTATGCGTTATTGATTTCCCATAGGCGGTAATGGTAACATTTTCTTCGGTAGCTCAGTCCATATCGTAAACTTGGATACGAATGATGGCTCGTTTTGAGGCTAAGACATTTTCACATATGTGGTTAAATTTTCGGGGTACGAAGTGAAATTCATATTTCCGTAAATTAGCACACCCCGAAAATTCTTTCGTGATGCTGCTCCTCGTGGTAAAAAATCACTTTCTTCGCACAATAAGTTCTTTAAAAATTTAATCCTTTGCATACATTTAATAACTCCATAGTTTTTACACATTTATTCTATGGTCCTCTACTGTCCAAATCAACAGAAAAGGTTAAGCTCAGTCACTTGCTAAAAATAGAAACATGTTTAATATCACATCACAGAGGTTTTTTTGTTTACGCACAACTTTTGTGTTCCTCGATTTGAGGCGCATTAGGGATATTGACCCAGTTCCATTATATTAAAAAAAACTGGTTGAGCAACCCAAACAGACATTATTAAAGTGTCAATAACTGGGATCCAGCACCCAAAACTGTTTAATCATACATCACAGACATACAACACAACTGGCTAATAAACTCAAACCAAATATTTTAGTGCTTTAAAGTGATTTCAATATCAATTATATTCAAACCCTCGTTTACATATCTACCAATCATCGTATTTATTTTAACTTTATCTGGTTTGTCATTCAGATAAAAGAGGGATGAAAGATACCAGAGGGACAGTCAAACTCATAGATCGAAAACAAACTGACAACGCCATGGCCAAAAATAAAAAGACAAACAGACAAATAATAGTACAGATGACACAACATAGAAAACTAAAGACTAAGCAACACGAACCCCACCAAAAACTGGGGGTGATCTCAGGTGCTCCGGAAGGGTAAGCAGATCCTGCTCCACATGTACTTGAACATTTTCTTTTTGTTTATTTCTTACATTTCCTGCGAATACACATGAGCTAGATAAAAAGGTGAATATTGGTATAATCAGAGATATGATGATCAATTATTTGCCTAACATAGCGAGATTTCGCTTTTTCCAAAGAAGTCTATTTTCTCAATTTTATTTCAAAATTTGGTTTCTCACATTCATTTTTATCATGTCCAAAATAAATTCCTCGAGCTCTAGCTAGCTATAAAACCAGGTTTTATCCACCATTTTCTACATAAGAAAATGCCTGTACCAAGTCAGGAATAACAATAACAACAATTGTTTGTCAATCAAGACGCCCCGAGGAGCAGAACAATTACAGTTTAAATTAAAGTGTACAAGTAATTGGGGAAAACGTAATTAAACTTTAATCGGGAAAATTCTTATTATAAAAACATTAGTTTTACCACTTTTTACATTTTTGGCAAATGCCTGTACAGTTCCAGAGAAATTTAGAAAAGATGTAGAAAGTAAATGTTATAAATACATCTGGGATGGTAAACCAGATAAGGTTAAAAGAAATACCATAATAAAGTCATACGAAGAAGGGGGGTTACAAATGATCGACATACAAAGTTATTTTATGTCTCTGAA